CATTTTTTATTTACACACTCACATACACACATAAAGATTTATATCCTACTATGTATATATTTCCCATGAGTATTAATTGTTGGTCCATATGCAATTTAAAAAATGGTGAAAAAAGTGAAAAAGTTTAGAGATGGCATGATGAGATTGAACTTAAAATATATAGAGATATATCTATAAATGTATAAACTATTGCTTATCAGTTTTGTGGTAGGCTAATTATTGATCTGGGGGAGAAGAGAGAGAGACAGACTACTTTTATGGGAAAGGAAGAAATTTAGACTCCTGTAACAGATGGGAAAATGGTGGGTAATACAAATCAGAAGAAAAATGTTTTTGGTTAGTGGTAAGTACATAAATGTATTTGTTTTTAGAGCATTTATAAGCATATAATTATGCAATTATGTATGCTTGGGCATATTATGTATTCTGTGGCAATAGAAACAATGTACTACGTTAGTGGATTTATGAGAACATGTCTTGGTCAATTAGATGGATGAAGACATTGGCAGGGTAAGAAGGAAACAACTGCTTGTTCATAATCTTGCAACCACAAAAGTGAGACATAGTTGTAGCTCATCAAATCGAAATAAAGGGTTCGGCTAAGACAACTATTTAGACACCATTTCTAGTTGCCCAAATAATTTAGTTAGGATTAGGTTCAACTGAAAACCCAAACCAATCTTCACTTAAACTAGATAGAAATGTGTAAGTACTTTGTTCTTGTAGATCCCTGGACAGGTGGTCCAGGGCAAGACGTTTCATTGTGACAGGGACCTGGGCTCCTTCTACTCACGCATCTGTGTGGGGCCTTCACTTTATGGTCCCAGATGCTGGTAACTCATTCCAAGCCCACCAAATGGATCAAGAGGTGAAAGGGAGACAAAGGATGAGCTGTCACTGAAGGAAGTTTCCTGGAAGGCGCTGTACTATCGTTTCTTTTCACATGACTACATTTAGCAGAAAGAGACACTCAGAAATGGACTCAGCCAAATATTTTATTGTTGTAAAAGGAGAGAAGGCATACTGAGAGATGCCTAGGGTGCTGATAAATATTACCTTTGAAAATATCCAGGAAGAGTCTACTACAGCTGATTAAGGGACTTTCCCCCACGTTACATATTAACAACTAAAAAAAGGCATGTGTGAACCATATGTATTAGTTATTGGCAGAACAATGTATAATGTTTCAATATCCACAGGGGCAGAGGATTTGGTGAAATGTGGGAGCAGGTGAGATGAGATGTGAAAGGCGAGATGTCAAGTAATAGAGACATTGTGGGTCAGCTGGCTCAAGAGCATCCTGGGCAAATTACCTGACTTTAGTGCAGTGCTGTTTGAAGTACAGTCTGTAGACTCATGGTAGCCGCATCAACTCAAAGTTTGTCAGAAATGCAAATCTTGGGCTCCACCCCAGACCTAATGAATCAGAATTTCTGGAGGGGGTGGGAGTAAGGGGCACAGGCATCTGGGTTTTAGTAAGCGCTCCAGGTGAATCTAAGTGCTAGAAGAAGCATTGTATTAGTAGATGGATTTGAACAATGTAACTCAGCCAAGTGCTTTTTTTAAAATTGAAGTATAGTCAGTTTACAATGTTGTGTCAATTTCTGGTGTATAGCATAATGTTTCAGTCATACATACACATACATATATTCCTTTTCATATTCTTTTTCATTATAGGTTATTACAAGATATTGAATACAGTTCCCTGTGCTATACAGTAGAAACTTGTTGTTTATCTATTTTATATATAGTAGTATCTGCAAATCTCGAATTTTATCCCGGTTTATCCCTTCCCACCCCTCTTCCCTCTGGTAACCATAAGTTTGTTTTCTGTGTCTCTGAGTCTGTTTCTGTTTTGTAAATAAGTTCATTTGTGTCTTTTTTTTATATTCCACATGTAAGTGATATCATATGGTATTTTTCTTTCTCTTTCTGTCTTACTTCACTTAGAATGACTATCTCCAAGACCATCCATGTTGCTGCAAATGGCATTATTTTATTCTTTTTTATGGCTGAGTAGTATTCGACTATATATATATACACTACAACTTCTTTATCCAGTCATCTGTTGGTGGACATTTAGGTTGCTTCCATGTCTTGGCTATTGTAAATAGTGCTTCTATGAACATTGGGGTGCATGTATCTTTTCGAATTAGAGTTCCCTCCAGCTATATGCCCAAGAGTGGGATTGCTGGATCATATGGTAAGACTATCTTTAGTTTTGTGAGAAATCTCTATACTGTTTTCCATAATGGCTGCACCAAACTACATTCCTACCAACAGTGTAGGAGGGTTCCCTTTTCTCTGCACCTTCTCCAGCATTTATCATTTTTGGACTTTCGAATGATGACCATTCTGACTGGTGTGAGGTGATACCTCATTGTAGTTTTAATTTACGTTTCTCTGATAATTATTGATATTGAACATTTTTTCATGTACCTATTGGCCATTTGTACAACCAAGTGCTTTTTAATCCAACTTGCTTCCCTAATCCTGTCACTGTTCTTGCATAAAAGAAAACATTAGATGAAGCTGGATGTGGATGTCAGCACTGGTAAAATTAAAATGGCATATTTATATATTTGTGGAAATAAAAATGGATCTTCCCCACACTTCCATAAGTAGTAGTATATCTGCATTTATAAATATGAATATATGTACATATGAGTACTTTATATAACTGTTAACTGGTATTATGCTTGATGTGGAAACATTTAGACACATTCAATGCAATCTGTTGTTACTGTTATTTAAAATTAATCCCCAAATCAAAATAAGTATGATAAATATGGGAAAGGATGGTACAAATTTACCATTATATAAAGATACGTTTGTCTTTATAGAGAAATAAACTTGCTTGGAAGAATCATGTGAAAAGCCTAGCACAATAAACATGCCAGTTTTCCACAGCCTAATCTAGTTAATTAATATTAAACTAAAATCTCAAAATAATTTTTAGAAAAAAAATAAAACTATCCTAATGTTCAATTATGAGCAAAAGTAGCTAGGAAAATTCTGGAAAAAATTGGAATCTTGGTTTATAATATATTGTATGACTACAGAAGAGAAATAAGTGGAAACATTGTAGTAGTGACACCAGAATAGGAGGGGAAACAACAGAACAAAATATAAAATATGGAATCAGAGAAATAGATGTTAAATAGTTTATTATAAGATACAAGGGGCATTTAAAACTAGTGGAGACTATAACTCAATAAAAAAAATGTTTAAAAAAAAACTAGTGGAGAATGAAGAGCTTAGTCAATAAATGAGGTTCATACCCTTGAAAATATTCATGTGCTTTGACCAGAGATATGTATGAATGGGTACCCCAGATATTTATGTATACATTTTTAGGACATGACACGAGTGGCAGTTTATAGTGTGAAAAGTTTTAGTTTACTGAATTCATAGCACTTGGAATTTATTATCCAGGAAAAATAAAATTGTATTCCTATTTCTTCTCAAACAAAATTGTATTTTCTAGAAAGATTAACACATTAAAATATTTAATGGATGAAAATGCAAAATAAAATTAAAATGAGTTACTTTCTTAAACTCATGAGATAAAATTTGAAATCACATTATGTTGGTGAAGGTATATGGAAAACAGGCACTCTTAAATATTGCTTGTGGGTATATAATTTAGAATAAGCCTGTTAGAGGATTATTTAGCAATATCCATGGAAATTAAAAGTACTCATCCTCTTCAACTCACTATATCAATCAGGACTCTCCAAAGAAACAGAACCAATAGGATGTGTGTATAAAGATATGTATTTTAAGGATTTGATGCATATGATTGTGGCTGGCAAGTCCAAAATATGCAGGCCTTACATTTAAGTCTTTAATCCTTTTTTAGTTTATTTTTATTTATGGCATGAGAAAATTTTAATTTCATTCTTTTACATGTAGCTGTCCCGTTTTCCATGCACCATGTATTGAAGAGAGTGTCTTTTCTCCATTGTGTATTCCTGCCTCATTTGTCACAGATTAATTGACTGTAAGTTATGGGTTTGTTTCTGAGCTCTCTATTCTGTACCGCTGATCTATGTATCTATTTTTGTGTCAATACCATACTGTTTTACTGTAGTTTTGTAGTATAGTCTGAAGCAAGGGCGTGTGATTTCCCAGCTCCATTTTTTTTTTCAAGATTATTTTGGCTATTCAGAGTCCTGTGTGTCCATACAAAAATTTTTTTTTTTTATACAAGCTTTAAAAAACTTTTGTTCTAGTTTTAGAAGCACAGGTGTTAACTCTTCTCTAAATGTTTGGTAGAATTCACCTGGAATGAAGCCATTTGGTCCTGGGCTTTTGTTTGTTGAGAGGTTTTTTTGTTTGTTTTTGTTTTATTTATTTTTTGTTACTAATTCAGATTCATTACTGGTATTTGGTCTGTTCATATTTTCTATTTCTTCCTGGCTCAGTCTTGGGAGATTGTGCATTTCTAGAAATTCGTCCTTTTCTTCTGGCTTATCTATTTTATTGACATATAGTTGTTTGTAGTAATCTTTTTATACTCCTTTATATTTCTGTGGTCTTAGTTGTAACTTTTCCTTTTTCATTTCTGATTTTATTGATTTGGGCCATGTCTTTTTTTCCTTGATGAGTCTGGCTAAAGGTGTATCAATTTTATCTTTTCAAAGAACCAGCTCTTAGTTTCATTGGTCTTTTTTATTTTTTATTTTTTTAGTCTCTTTCATTTATATATACTCTGATCTTTATGGTTTCTCTTCTACTAACCTTGGGTTTTGTTTGTTCTTCTTTTTCTAGTTCCTTTACATGTAAGATTAGGTTTCTTATTTCCTGAGGTAATCTCGTATCACTATAAAATTCCCTCTTAGAACTGCTTTTGATGCATCCCACAGATTTTGGATAATTGTGTTTTCATTTTCCTTTGTCTCCAGTTATTTTTGATTTCTTGATTTCTTCAGTGCTTCACTAGTTGTTCAGTAAAATGTTGTTCAGCCTCCACGTGTTTGTGTTTTTTTGCAGCTGGCGGGGGCATCATCTAACTTGATCCTACCCGGCCCCTGCGTTCTGCCCGCGTTGGGCCTCCACTGAGCGCTCCGCTGCCCTTGCTCCTCCCTTGGGTCTCGGGCACGCTGGGCGCGGGCAGGAGCACGGCCGCGGGATCCTGGGGCTCACTCGCCAGCCTCTGCGCGGCGCACATGGACTTGAGCATCTGGAAGATGGCGAGGGGCGCCACTTTCGGCTTGAGCAGGTCCACCAGGATCTTGAACAAGTCGGGGTCCATGGCACCGCCCGCCGCCTGCGCCAGCTCGAACAGCTCCATCTCCTCGGCGCTCAGCACCTTCTTCCACCGCAGCGCCAGCTTCCGCAGAACCACCTCTGGCCCCAGGGGCGCACCCGGCGCGGCCATCTGCACGGCTGCGGAGGGTGCGTGCCCTCAATGTCCATTTTTAATTGCTATTTCTGGGTCTATCGATAAAGTCCTAATCAGCTACAGATGTAGGGAAGAGAACCAGGACTTTTTGAGAGACTATTATATGCCAGAGACTTACGTTAACTAGGCACTACAATTTGTTATCTGAGTTAACATGAAAGAAAACTGAGGCCCAGAGAAGAGAAATAACTTTAACAATACTTGGCAGCTAATAAGTGGGAGGCTAATAAATTAAGCAGTGATGTTTTTTTCTGTATTCTTTCGTGAAGTACTTTATTGGAGGAAAAGGATTGTTAGAGGATTTTAAGTATCCCTGATTGATAGATTAGCACGGCATACATAATATAATTATCCAGCAATGGACCAACTTAAAACAAGAACTTCTAAATCTAAAGGAGTATTGTTCCTCCAGATAAGTCACAGTGGGAGCTATGTAGTGATTTCAAGTATTGCCCCAAGTATTTTGAACCTTCTCTGTTAGAATTGCCCTTAGAACTGAAGACACTCTCTTTTGAGTATCCCCAGTGGTGAGTTTTCTTTTCTTTTTGGGTTGCCTTTTTTTCCTTTTAGAGTGGCTATGATTTTAAAGATTAGCCAAAAGTTGTTTAGAGCAAAGTGTAGTAAATAAAACGGATGATCAAGCAATGATTTGTGCAGTACACAACCCCACAGATGCTTTAGAATTTCTGGTAATAAGCTTGCCTGACTGTTTGACCTTGGGGATTAATTCAGCATGGACAATACCATTTATGTTGAAGAAACAATTAACATCGTCTTCATTTGTGACTTGGGGAGGCATATTTTCTTAGATCTTTGGTTGCTTGAAGTTCTCCATTCAAGACTCTGGCATCTTCTTTTCAGGTCATACAGGAAATATCAAGTTTCCTCAAGGTTCTATTGTCCTCAAAAACACATTACTTTGTCCAGCTTCTCTTGAAAGGTCAGAATAAATGTCAGGTCTTATATGTTTCTGTTCATCACTCCAAATGTGTGGCATGGTCTTCACTGCACCTTTGCTTTGGCTCAAATTTCTTTTTGGAATGAAACTGTTTCATGGTTCTTCAACACAGGAAAAGATGCTCAGCATCCTCTGAATGCGAGAAAATAAAATTAAAGTGACAACCACAGTTTCTTCACCTAGTATATGGGCAAAGATCAAGAAGTTTAATAACCACAGTATACCGCAAAAGAAACCTTCATAAATTGTTAACTGGAGTGTAAATTAGTACAACTCCCGTGAGAAGTAATTTGTCACTGTCCTTCCAAATTAAAAATACCATACCCTTTGATCCAGCAGTCCTACTTCTAGGGATTTTCCCAGGCATACTTGGACACATGCAATGTCATACATACACATACTCACTGCAAGCTTATTTATAAGAGCAAAAAAGTACATCAATAGAGGTCTGGTTAAATCAGTCATGGCACATCTATGCAATGAATATTAAGTAGCTCTTAAGAAGAATAATTATGAAATGTTCTATATCTTGCTTGCATTTAGTTCTCAAAATGTATCACATTGAATCTCTGCATTTTAGTGCATGCAAATTATACTTCAGTAAAATAAGGAAAAATGGACAGCATAGAGTTAGGTTAAAAAAATAATAATTAGGACTCTATGACACCTTTTCCAAGATAATTTGTTAAAGGAAAAAAAAAGAGACCATGGATCAGTATGCATATTACCATTAGTGTAGAAGACAATATACAAACATAGTTCATGTGCATAGCGCATCTCTTGAAGGATGCAAGAATAGCATGATGGTAGTTGCTTCTAGGAAAGAGAACCACATGGGTGGAAGACAGGGCAGGAGGAAGATACAGTTTTCACTCTATACCCTTCTTTCTTTTAATTTTTATAACTTGTACATATATTTATGTATTCAAAAGGAAAAAAAATTTAAATGAAGCTCTTTCATAATTTGTCATCACCACTGTTCCCATGATTAATTGCTTATTCAAAAGAACAAACCTGTCAATAAATACGTGAACACTCTGAGTTTCTCCTGTGCTACTGCTTTCTACCTCACAATGAACATTCCTGCTATCTTTTAAAAAATGTTTGTGCCAATAAAAGAGTATTTTATCTACCTGATATTACCTCTATAAGCTCATTCTTTTAATACAGTGAGTATCTCACTTGCTGAATTAAATCCATACACTATCTATGGGACATACAAAATGGACCATGCATTTTCATGAGAGAGGAAAAAATAATGCCCTTTCTTTATGCACACAGCAGGGTTAAGGCAACGACCCGCTTGCTTTGACAGCCCAGCCACAGGAACACAAAATGGTAAGCCTGCTACAATTCTCAGTATTCAAATAATGTATGCATTAAGTGACTGGAAAATAAAACCAAGACATTGTGTTTTTTTTTTTTCTTCTTTCAATTTTTTTTTTTTTAGTGTTTTAGTGGAATTTTAAAAGACTTAACCCAATAATTGTTTCATTGTTATTTGTTTATCTACTGAAATATGTGTTAAAGTTCTATAATAATTGTGGCCTTTTCTAATCTATTGAATTGCTAATATATACTACTATTCTTTGTATTTGAGAAACAATTGTTTTGAAAATTATTCACTAATTGCCTGAATTAACTGCTTCATTTAACCATGAAATACTGTCATGTAGCTTTTACTTGATTTGGAGACAAAACTAATAAATTATTTATATTGATTATTGAAATTAACAGTTACTTTAGCATTTTAGAAACACAGATTAACAATGGCCATTGTTCATAGAGTATTGTTGAGGGTGCAAAAAAGTAGTTTTGGAGCTAATACTTATAACATTTGAATAGAAGAATAAAGGTACATATGGAACATTTGTCTCCAAACTCAAAATTGCCAAAAATTTTTGCTCAGAGAAGGAATGCTCCACACTTGGTGATTGTCTCCTGGCTATCTACAGCCTTACCTTTTGGTTTGAAATATCCTTAAACTGCATAGTACATCAGTAGGTAGTTTTAATTAAAATTAAATTAAAATTTAATTTAATTAATAAATTTTCTTTAAAGGTTTCAATGTAATAATAGCAAATATGCCGCTCAAGAGATAGAGGAATATAATGCAGAATTTCAGCTTCAGCTTTTGGAGTTACAGCATGTTTGAATCCTGGCTCTGCTGCAGATAAACCGAGATTAAGGTTCAGTTTGTTATTTAACCATTGTGACCTTCAATTTCTCCTTCTAAATTTTTCTCCATCTCTAAAATGCATGTAATGTGATCTGCATCAGCAGCTCGTAGATGAAGATCAATCAATACAATGTATCTAAAATGCTTAGTACAATGTGTCTGTAAACTATAGCTATTGTTATTATGGTAAAAGGAAATGCTTTGAATTATAGTCGTTTGTGAAAATTATCCTAAAGCAATATATTACAATCCAGTGTTATATTTGTGATGAGGGTGAAAATGTCATTCATTCACTCTGATTCATTCACATCTGGGATTCTGAATGTCTCCTTTCTATCAAAGGGAAAAATTTTCTTTATATTAAGGAAAAAGCTTTTGTGGATAAACGGGACTAATTTACGGTAAGAACAATCTTTCAAGACATCATTTTTGAACCCTTCATATATTAACAGCGTCTGGTGTCTAAATTGTTTTAAATGGCTCTTCCTCTCCATTCTGCTCTTCCCTCCCACCTTCCAGGGTCTCTCCACCTAATCCAGGCCATCAGAGAATGGAGAAAATAGAACCCAATAACTTGAATGCTCTAGTTGGGAGTCTTTGAGACAAAACTGGCATCATATTCACATGATCAGTCTCCTGACCCCAAGGGACAAATTATTTGTTGACATGTCTGTCTGTCCCCTTAGACGTTAGATTCCTTTGAAAGTAGGAATGGATCTCATCCATCTTTCCATCATTCCACAGCCCCATGCAGAAAGCTTGCACACAGTAGCTACACAGTTTTTGGTTTTTTTTTTAATAAGGCACTGCGTATTGTTGTCTTCCAACCATTTCAATGAAGTATTTTTAAAAATGGTTACTATTTCTTTGGTTATTTCAATTTTCTTATTACAAAAAGACTTAGTCCTTTTTAATTGGTATTTTATTTTCGTTATCATTTGCTGTGTCTAGTTCAAGAAAGCCACCAGTGACCACTGAGCCTTTTAAAACTGTGACCTCTCTGGGAGCCCCCTGACTCGGGTGCTTGTCTAGTTGTTGTGGCTTTCCTGTGTCACAGTGATGTTCTCAGGACGATCACAGTTATTTTCAACTCTGGCTGCACATCAAAATCCTCTAGCTGCCCAGTTTCTAGATACAGGTTATGGTTTAGTAGATCGTAGGTGACACCCAGCTGAACAGGTGACTCTGATGCCCAACCAGGTTGAAAACCCCCTGGATCGCCTGTGCTTTTACTCTGGAGGAACCCCACAGTGTTGTTCTCCTTGGTCTAACCTGGGTGCAGGCTCTATGCCTTTTGACTCATGCTATGCAGAGGCCACAAAATTCTGCTGCACTGGTCTGATGTGGACTAAAAATGTTTGTCCTGTGCAGTATTATGTTTTATAATTGTGAAATATTTCAAACATACAGAACTGTAGGATCAATAATGTAATAAATCTCATGGTCCTACCATCTAGTCTAACAAATCTTACCATTTTGCTATATTTATTACAGATTTTTATTAAAGTAATAAAACATTACAGATGCCCTAGGAGCCCTTTGTGTGCCTTTCCCCTGCCTATCCTCTGCAGGGATAATGACTACTCTGAATTTGAAGTTTATCATTCGGACCCATGCTTCACTAACTATGCATTTATTCAAAGGCTGTGTTTAGCGTTTTCTTGTTTTAAACATTATGTGGATGGCACTAGATTGTGTACAATAGTTTATAAAGTCAGGCCCATATTTACAAATGGCAAAATTTCACATAAAATCGGATTTGTTGGCTTCTCTTAAAACAACCGGAAGATCTGGCAGTCCTGGGCGAGCTTTTTGGCATGAGGACGTGCCGTGCTGGGCCAGCGCCGGCCAGTGTGACACCATCCCCCTGCTCAC